ACGACGTGAACACTTCACGGAAGCCTATGTTAGGTTACAGATCAAATATTATTATATTTTTTATATAATATTATTTTATTATTTATTTTTTACTTTTTTATTTTAATGTCTTTTATCTTTTGATTTCTTATTATTTTTTGTTGTTGGGATGATGGCATGAATGGGATGAATTGGAATGGCGATGGCATGCGATGGGATGGGATGCGGTGGGATGGGATGCGGTGCGATGGTGCATGGCATGGCATGGACATGTCATTGGATGCATGAGGATGGAGGAATGGCGATGGCATGGCATGGATGTGGATAGATGACTGGATGCATAGTAGATAGATAGATAGTTCGATTTTTAGGGGTATTTTCCTTTCAACCAAGCGGTAACTAACTGAGTAACCCCACTGATTTCCCCGGGCAACGTCGGGTATTCCGCTAGTTTATGATGAAAGAAAGAAGTTGCTCACTTGGCGAAAATTTTTATTTTTTTCTTTCGCGGCTGTCGAGTTTCGAACTCCCGACACCTACCTATTAGGCAAGCGTTGCTACCACTGCGCTACAGCGCGAGCTTGGCAACGACGCAGTACTACATTGGTTAATGGTAGTGAGTAGTGACGTCGATCGATACAGCGGTATGGTATCGGCACCAGTGTTAAATAAAACGGCTTCAATTCAACTTTATCCTGTGTCATCATTGCGCAAAAGTGCGCCAATATTACCTTAACGAGTGGTTTAATGCATCGTTTACAGTCAATCATTTGAAATCATGCGGCAGAGATTGAGAGAACATAGCTAACAAAAAAATGGGCTGTTCCCTTTTATAGTATAGAAGCTAACAAAAAAATGGGCTTGTTCCTTTTAGTAGTATATGATAGGCCATGGCATGCGTTCACGTTTGCCGGCGAGGTGTAACCGCTTAAACAGGTAGCTAGAAGCTGTAGGGCGTAGATAAGTAGGGCCTACCTTCATTAATGATTATCAGACTTATGTGTTCTCTTCTATTCAAACAGATTCAGTCTAAATGATTATCTGCCCAACAACGGTTAGTAACCTGATCCACTATCAACAACGTTATTTCGTACAGTTGCCCTCTTATGTTATATTTGCGACGATGAGTCGTATTAAATTTTGATGTACAGGCAAACCCTTCAAAAAATACGACTAAACGACATGTAACCAAAAGAACGCCGCTTCGATCGCACGGCACGAGTGCGTTGCTATGGCGCGGAAAAGTTTGGGTCGTCTAATTACCGAAGGCTACACAAATAGGATACTCGCTGGAATTTTCTAATAAACACCGAAAGGCGCGCTATGAAAACATCAAATTTCACCGGAAAGCACCGAAAAGAAGCCAGTCCGGAGTGAAATGTAAAAAAAAAATCCACCGAAATGCTCCTAAAAATGATCCTGAACTCGGGCCCGAAATGATGGCCGATTTACATTGCCACAGGCCCATCTCTTGGATGTTTTTATAAGTAATGTTTTTTATAAGTACAATATGGTGGCATTTTTCAATAAAATAATGCGTTTTTTAATGTATTTACCACGATTTACGCTATTAGAAACTATTATGTTATTTTTACTGATTTCTCCGTTCTCTTCCTTGGATTTATTCATCGTCTTTTCATGCCTTTCGGTAGCATTTTTCTGCGTTTCAGTGCCCTTTTGGTAATATATATAGCCTATATTAATATTATGCTGTCTAAACACTAAAAAGCCGGTTAAAAAATTCGAAAGGCCCCTTTTTAACACACGAAAATACTCCGAAAGACACTAAGTAACACGAAATCCATTCAAAGCGCATCAATAAAAAACACTGAATCTACATAGAGCCTAATAAAAAAGACTCACCGAAATGCACGCATTAATGGTAGAAAACTATTTACAAGGCCGATGCTGCTCCTGCCTCCGAGTTTAATTTCGCCGCCAGTGCAAACGACAGTTAATAAATTCTAGACGATCGCAGCCCGCGATATACGCGCGAATGGCGACAGCGCCCCACTCGCTGGCGCCTTTTCATCCAATTCGCTGCCCTGTATGTACGAACTAACTACGCGAAAGCCTTTCTTGGGTTACTACAGAAGTAGCGCATAATCGCGTCAATTGAAGCAGTTCTTGCGATTGCAGAAGCCTTTTCGGACTCTGCACCGTACGGCACGAGAATAAATCGCATGCGTCGTTATGCTATTTTTTTGGTTGGGCGTTACGGTTTTCCTCTAGAAAAGC